TAGGACTCTAATTTAGGCAAGGGTCCACGGTTCATGGTGGACCTTTATTAATTAATTAAAGGAAACCTAACCGAATTAAATCATATTTAATTATTATTAACGGGATTAATTTAATAATTAATCCGGGATTGAAGGCCGTAACACGGGGTGTTACAACGAAGCTTCTCGTAAGGGGGGGGGGGGGGCGGGGGGGGGAGAGTGTAACACCCCGTGTTACGGCCTTCAATCCCGGATTAATTATTTAATTAATCCCGTAAATAATAATTAAATATGATTTAATTCGGTTAGGTTTCCCTTTAATTAATTAATAAGACCCACCATGAACCGTGGGCCCTTGCCTAAATTAGAGCCTTAAGCCTATTAGGAATAAAGAAAGTAAACCTTTTACTATTCAGATTCTAATTAGGAATCCTAGACCTAGTTATCTATTAGGAATAAAGGAAGTAGGCCTTTTACTATTCAGATTATGATTAGGATTCTCTTTAATTAATTAATATGGTCCACTATGGACCATGGACCCTTATCCCTAAAACAAGTCCCTAGTCCTAAAAGGAATGGAATTAGCAAGACTATAAGATTAGTTCTTAGTTAGGACTCCTAGATGTATAAATAGGGGACTTAAGAGGCACCTAGAACCCCCACCACAATAATCACTCACCACACAAGAAGTTCCAAGAATTCCCCTAGGAGAAATCAAGAAAGAAGAACGCTTCAAGAAAGACCCTTCATAGCCAAGGAATTAATTAAGGCTAAAAGGTAACCCATGTCTCAACAAAACCTATTTTCGTAGTTATGATTCCCCTCTTAGGTTTTCCCCATATTATTGTGTATTGATGATTTGTGATATTATTATTGATGATTGGTGGGATGATTTCCATGGGTGATCTTGATGATGAAAGGTTTTTGATAATTATGGTGTTCCTGATGATTATATGACGTTCTTGATAATTATACGGTGTTCTTGATGTTCTTAATGATTATATGAGGTTCTTGATAGTTATATGATATTCCTACCGAATCTTGATTTTGGAAGATGAATTGTGTTCTTGTTGATTTAAAAATAATTAGAACCCTAGGTTATGTCGTGGAATTCGTATAGTATTATTCTTGGTATATCGGGTGGGATTTCGCATGATTGGGTGTTTATTATGTTTAGAAAAACATGAAAGGTTATGTGCCGTTTGCTTCTTGATTTTGATCCGTTAATTGTCTACGTGTGTTATCAATTGCGTTTGAAAGTGTCTAAGCATGGTTTCGGGTTCCACAAAGGTTCCCGGGGCGTTTTGATGAAAAAGAGTCAGTGGGGGGTAGGTGGGGGCAGGGGACCCGCCACCTACCCGCGGCCAAATCGGGCAACGCAGGCAGCGGGCAGCCGGCGGGCACCCGCTGCCCGGATTAGTAGAACGCCGGCGGGTGACCCCCACCCACCGGCTACCCGCTGGAAATTCCCACCCTTCGGGACCCCGACATCCCCGTTTGATGTTCCCCCGACCCCCGTGGTGTTCCAACGGACTCCGTCTATCGTGCCTATGTCTAGTTTGACTTTCGAGTACCGTTCGTAGGTCATATGAGTCTTATATATTGCATGCTAGTTGAATTGGTATCTCGTTGACCTAGGTGAAAGAAGTATGAACCCCTTAGGACTATTCTTAAAATGTGAAGGATCACGCATAGATTTTGTTATACGTTTTCTCCTCCTTCCCAATGTGCTAATATGGGTTGCATGTGCTTGCTATATGTTATGTGTGTGTGTTACCCCGACTTGGTTGAGATCAATCGGGCTATACGGGCAGTCGGGTGGGCTGAGAACCATACCGGCTGTTAACCAGGCTGGTAGAAACCGGTCAGGTATATAAATATTATATAGGACTAAGGTCCACTATACGGGCAGTTGAATGGGTTGAGAACCATCCCAACTGTTAACCAGGGTGGTAGAGACCGGTCAGGTATATAAATATTATATAGGACAAAGGTCCACTATACGGGCAGTTGAATGGGTTGAGAACCATCCCAACTGTTAACCAGGCTGGTAAAGACCGGTTAGGTATATAAACACTATATAGAGCTGCGGCTCATCGGTCGGTTGCGATCGACCCCTCCGTGCTGTGAGACGGGGCAGGGTGCTGCGGGGCCGTGTCAGAGCTATATGCGTTGACCCTCATGTATGGGCATGCAATTGGTCCTGTGTCGCCAACAAAGTGTGCTATGTGATGAAGAATGGATGAGTTGTTGTTATGAGTATATTGGGGATGAGACTATGGGATTTGTACCGGGGATCGTATATGTTGGGTTATGATTATTAATTGTGCTTATCTTATCTGTCTTGCCTGTTGTAAACTGTATACGCTTGGTATAACTGCTGTCCGTGCTTAGCCCTATCTGTTGAGTCTATCCCTGTTTTAAAAGCTAGAGTTCGTAGGATATATCTTCATGTTCAAAATGGTTTTCGTATATATATATATATATATATATATATATATATATATATATATATATATATATATATATATATATATATATATATATATATATATATATATATGTATTGTATTTCAACTCGTTGGAGTGGGTTACCAGCATCTCTCGCTGAACAGATATATTTGGCTTTCAGGCACAGAAGAGTAGGTCACTGGAGCGCGCTAGAACTTGGAACGTAGAAGTAGATAGCTTCCCTTTCGGCCTGCGTGCCATGTTTATGCGTTACATTATTGAGGATATTAGTTAGTTAGCCTATGCACCTGAGTTCTCTAGCTCAGGTGTGGCATAGCACCCCGTACTCTTGTATTATGTTTTGGGATTTAATGAGATTTCACCTTTATTTTATAAGTTTTAAATATCTTGAAAATTTGGGGTGTTACAAAAACACTCAGAGCTATCAAGAGAAATCATTCCAGAGTGTTTATCTTCATCAAAGAGACCTGCGCATCATTGAAGATCATCTACAGAGTCTCAGAAGTTGGAAGGAAGACAACACTTGTTTTGGAGCAAAACAAGAGAAGGGAGGAAAGTAGCACGGAGCTGTGAAATCCTGAATTGTCACACGGAGCTGTGAGATCCGAAGCAGCAGTGTCGGAGGCACAGGGCGTGATTTGTGCGGGCTTTGTGATCAAAGCACTAGATCACGGGATACGTTTCTACCGTAGTGTGGAAGACGGGGGAAAAGTAACGCGGAGTCGTGAAATCCTGGGATAGTAGCGCGGCGACGTGAAACCCGAAGCAGCAGTGTGGTGTCACTGGGCGTGATTAGTGCAGGCTTTGTGATCAAAGCACTAGATCACGGAAATTCATTGTATCTTGGAACCAAGGAGTGGTAGATATAGTGAATTGCTCTTGGAGATAAGAGCAAGTGGAGTAGGAGGATTACACCACCTCGCGAACCACTATAATTGTCTTGTGTTCTTTACTGCTTTCTTTACTTACTGCTCTTTACATATTCGCTCTACACGAGATATACTGCTCACACAATCTCACACACGCTTTATGTTTATTTATTTCCGCTGTGCACCATACTCTAACAATCTAGTTAAGAGTTTTGGTTTATCTCTGGCTTAGCAATTGTTGTGCTGTGCGAAAAAGTTTGAAAGTCTATTCACCCCCCCCCCCCCCCTCTAGACTTTCACCTTACCTCTTTTGGGACCAACATGCCCGATATTTTCTTCGCACTCTAATTTAAAGAATATTTTAAAATGAGTTTATTAGGCTAGGTGAAATCGGATATGGAGGTTTAGCTTGGGCTGGGAAAAGGGCTAATTTTTGGATTTTGATAAGTCCTCGACCACACCAGGTTATAAGGTGATACGTAGGATAAGAATGACGCCACAAGTGAGGTTCCACACTTGATAAGTCAGGTTTGTTATGACCAACTCATAACCGAGCTCATCACGGATTCCAGAAAACAATCAGTTTTCTAACTCAAAAATTCTCAACTTTGTATTTCATTTAGCATGCAATGGCCTTAAATAGCCATTAACAAGCAAATTACTACCACATAAATGAGATAGTTATTAAGAAAAGGATAAACTAATCCAAACTAACAAACTAAGATAAACATTAATCTTAACTATAATAAAGTTATATCGTTTGGGAAGTAATTATTGTTACAATTATTATCTCTATCCTTATTATTATTATTATAAAATAGCCACAACATCCTTTACTATAAAAAAAAATAAAAAAAATAAAAAAAAAACAAAACAAAACATTTGAAAAATAAAATAGCTATTTTTTCTCCCCATAACAAAGGATTACGTTTACGTTAAATTTACTCATACAAAATTTGAAATTTGTTTTGTAAATGTAATTATCTTAGTTATTATTCGTATTGTGAAAATTATAATATAGATGAAATACAATTAAGAACAAAATATCAATGTAATTATGTAAATTCTCTCTATAAGTTTATTTGAATATGTACATAATTAGAGATTATATTAACCACACAAAATTTTAATTTTAATTTTAATTGTAATTTTTTATTCTATAAAAATAATAAATACTTGACCGATGGAAGCTCAAAAATATTATTATATTAAACTATTTAAACTATTTTTATTTTTTCTATTTTTTATTTATATTTATAATAACATCAATTTTCCCCCTGCATCATGCGAGTTAATTACTAGGTCAAAGGTCTAAACCTTGGAATGACACATATGAAAACACTGGAATCGTATTAAATGTGTATCGTGTATATTGTATTTGATCTGATAGGGTTATAGGATATGATGTTAGGAACCCTGAGCTGTGATTGTGGTTGCATCACAATAATAATCCAAATGCCTTTTTGGAACACGCTTGTTTCTATCTGAACGACGTGGCTGCATGTCAATAGGGGCTGAATTGTTGTTGGCAGATTCAGAGAATTGGGTGGCAGATTCAGGAGAGTTCTGTTGAAGCTTCTAGGAGTTGCTACTGGAATGATGGTGTTCATCTTCCAAAGGCTTTGAGATATTAAAATCAGCCGCATCTGGATTGAAATGTGGCTGTTAAAAGTCATGAACCTACTGATCATCCAAGTCTATGTCCATGGAGATAGGGACATTGGGTAGAGATGGCTGTGAGGACTGAGTGGGATCAAGCACATCCTTCTCTGCCATGGGGAACTGGCCTTCATAGAATGTAACATCTCCAGATATAATGGTGGATCCTTCATCTGCATCATACAACAAATATCCTTTGATTCCAGCTGGAAAACCAAGAAAAATATACCTTTTGCCCCGGGGAGCCATTTTGTGTCTTGCCTTAGAGTTAGTGGCAGCGTAGGATAAGCAGCCAAAAACTCTTAGAGAAGATATGTCAGGGGAGCTGCCATACAACATCTGATATGGAGTGGAGAGATTGATCACCGGAGAAGGCATCCTATTTATTAAGAACATTGCATGCATTATACACTGGCCCCAAAAATCCTAAGGAAGGTGAGCTTGAAAACGGAGTGATCTTGCAACATTGAGGATGTGTTGATGCTTACGCTCAACTACTGCATTTTGTTGAGGAGTGTTGACACAAGAACGTTGATGTACAATGCCATTTTCTAAGAAGAAATCATCCATTCTAAAGTCATCTCCATTATCACTTCTAATAGTTTTAATCATCTTACCAAAATGAGCGTGAACACATATGCATGAAACCTCTTCATAAATTGTCTAGTTTCAGCTTTATTATTCATCAAATGTATCCATGTAAACCAAGAGTAATCATCAACTATAGTAAGAAAGAAACGTTCTCCCTTCAAAGAACAAAATGGGAAAGGTCCCCATATATCTACATGGATCAAGTCAAAACAAGCTTTTGAACTAGTAGTGCTTAATGGGAAAGGGGATCGTTTGTGCATAGCTAGATATATGGCACACATCACATGCTATGTTTTTAACTTTTGATCTATCAATATCACAAAAGAGGTGGAGCTTGTTGGTTGGGAAATGCCCCAGCCTTTGATGCCAAAGCTCCGGACTAGTGCACTGCATAACATAGCACTTATTTTGTGACTTTGGTTCCACCAATATGTATAGGCCATTTTCTTCTTTAGCTAAACCAACTATCTGCCCATGAATACCCTGAATTGTGCATTGTTTGGACATGAAAGTCAGTGTATATGCAGCATCCTCAATCAATTTACTCACAGAAACAATATTAAACTTGAAAGATGGGATATGCAGTGCTTCCTTTAGGCATAGATTCTCACTTAGCTTGGCATCCCCTATATGTTCAACTGATATACATTGGCCAGTAGGGAGGTTCACTTTAACCTCATCCACCATGTGATAATTGGTAAGACAGTCAAGGGAGCACACTATGTTATTTGTGGCTCCCGAGTCAAGGATCCAAGTGTGAGAACTTAAAGAAAAGGAGTTAATAGAGAACTTGTCTTCACTGTCTGTGTGTAGCTCATCAAACTTAGGAGTTAAAGCAATAGCAGAAGTCACATTTGAACTAGATGGTCCGGATGGTTGTGTTTGTTGAGTCCGAAAAGCTGAGATAAGTTTCTGTAATTGCTCAGATGTTATTCCCAGATCTGAATTGTTCAAGACTGATGTTGTAACTGGCTGTTTATTCTTAGTTTTGTAGCCTTGAATCCAATCGGGAAGGAATCCATGTTTCTTATAGCACCTATCCACTGTGTGTCCAGACATGCCACAATAGGTACATTTTGCTTTTGCACCATTGCACTTTCTGCCATTGTATGAGGATGCAACAATAATCTCCTCACTCAAATTACTTTGAATTGCATTGGATTGATTCAGATCAAAATTACCTAGATTCAGATTTCTCAAATGCAACTTGTCTCTCCAATTATTCAGGCATAACAAAAATTTATAAACTTCTGGCAGAGGATCTAAAACAAGTACTGTAACACCCCAGATTTTCAAGACTTTTTAAAACTTATAATAAAGGTAGAATCTTATTAAATCCCAAGATGTAATACAAGCGTTCGGGGTGCTATGCCACACCTGGGCTAGAGAACCCAAGTGCACAGGCTAACTAACTAATATCCTCAAAGTGTGATTTCATAAACGTGGCACGCAGGCCGAAAGGGAAACTATCTACTTCTACACTCCAAGTTCTAGCGCGCTCCAGTGACATAATCTTCTGTTCCTGAAAGCCAAATATATCTGTTCAGCGAGAGATGCCGGTAACCCACTCCAACGCGTTGAAATACAATACATATAGAGATACATATAGATATACGAAAACCATTTTGAGCATGAAGATATATCCTACGAACTCTAGTTTTAAAAACTGGGAATGACTTGACAGATAAGGCCAGACACAAGCAACAGTTATAACGAGCTTGCGCAGTTCACAATAGATAAGGCAGATAAGGCAAAGCATAAACAATAATCATAACCCATCATAAACAATCCCAAATATGAGACCCACAGTCACATCCCAAGGCACTCATAGTCACAACTCGTCCATATCACACACATAACGCACATTGTTGGCGCCACAGGACCGATCGCATGCCCATACATGAGGGTCAGCGCATATAGCTCTAACACAGCCCCGCAGCACCATGCCCCGTATCGCAACACGGGGAGGTCGATCGCAACCGACCGATGAACCGCAGCATATCATAATGTTTGATCGCAACCAAACAGTGGACCGCAGCCCAAGAGAGTGTCATCTGACCGCAGCCAGGATAAAGGACGAACCGCAGCTCGTATAGAAACGTTTGATCGCAACCAAACGGTGGACCGCAGCCCAAGAGAATGTCATCTGACCGCAGCCAGGAATACCAATCTGACCGCAGCCAGCTTCTGAACCGTAGTTCAGGATAACCAATCCGATCGCAACCGAATTGGGGTAGCACACACACGTAACACATAGCAAGCACAAACAACCCACGTTACACATCGGGAAGGGGGATAAAGCGTATAACAAACCTATGCGTGATCCATCACTTACTAAGAATAGTCCTAAGGGGTTCATACTTCCTTCACCTAGGTCAACGGGATACCAATTCATCTAGCATGCAATACAACAGACTCATAAACCTACGAACGGTACCCGACACATCAAACTAGACATAGGCACGATAAAAGGAGTCCGTTGGGACACCACGGGGATCGGGGAAACATCAAACGGGGAAGCCGAGGTCCCAGGTGGGGTGAGTTTCCAGCGGGTAGCCGGTGGGTGGGGGTCCACCCGCCGGCTGCCCGCCGGCTGTCACTGTTCCGGGCAGCGGGTGCCCGGCGGGCAGCTGCCCGCCCGCCGGCTGCCCGTTGCCGGAGCTACCCGAGATTGCCGCGGGTAGGTGGCGGGTCCCCTACCCCCACCTACCCCCCACTGACTCTTTTCATCACTTTTCGCCCCGGGAACCGTTGTGGAACCCAAAACCATGCTTAGACACTTTTCAACGTAATTAACGACAACACATAGACAATTAACGGATCAAATACGATAGACGAACGACACATAACCTAACATGCTTTTCTAATCATAATCAACACCCAAACATGCGACTTCCCACCCGATAATCCAAGAATCAAAGCACACGGTACAACCTAGGGTTCTAATCACTTTTATATCAACAAGAATACGATTCGTCTTCTAATTGCAAGATTCGGTGGGAACAACACATAATCATCAAGGATAGCAATTAATCATCAAGAACATCATAATCATCAAGAACAACACATAATCATCAAGAATCCCAATTAATCATCAAGAACATCACAATTATCAAGAAACTCCCAATATCAAGATTATCAAGATTCCCCATGGAATCATTAAATCAACATCAATAATAATCATAGTAATTCGTCATTCACAATCATACGGGGGAAACCCTAAGGGGAAATCATAGCTATGAAAATAGGTTTTGTTGAGACATGGGTTACCTCTTAGCCTTAATTAATTCCTTGGCTATGAAGGATCTTTCTTTAAGCTTCCTTGCTTTCTTGATTTCTCCTAAGGGGATTCTTGGAGCTCTTTTGGGGGTGGTGGGACGTTATTCTTGTGGGGGGTTCTAGGTGCCTCTTAAGTCCCCTATTTATATATTTAGGAGTCCTGGTTAGGAACTAATATTATAGGCTTTCTAATTCTATTCCTTTTGGAACTAAGGATTGGGTTTAGGGATAAGGGTCCATGGCCCATTGTGGACCATATTAATTAATTAAAGGGAATCCTAATCGTAGTCTGAATAGTAAAAGGCCTACTTCCTTTATTCCTAATAAATAACTAGGTATAGGATTCCTAATTAGAATCTGAATAGTAGAGGGTTTACTTTCTTTATTCCTAATAGGCTTAGGACTCTAATTTAGGCAAGGGTCCACGGTTGATGGTGGACCTTTATTAATTAATTAAAGGAAACCTAACCGAATTAAATCATATTTAATTATTATTAACGAGATTAATTTAATAATTAATCCGGGATTGAAGGCCGTAACACGGGGTGTTACACCCTCCCCCCCTTACGAGAAGCTTCGTCCCCGAAGCTTGGAAATCATTGCAGGGTTAACGAGTCAAGAGAAGAACTGTGGTCCTATAGAGAAGGTATTCCACGGGGGAATTGTATACTTGCACGCCTATGTGTGTAGGGTTTTTGGGAGTGATTGGGTTTTACAGGGCTAAGAGAGTGGGTTTCAAACTTGAGGACACGGTGAATTCAGGAATTAGGATCAAGTTTTCGAGGTTGCAACTTAGGTTGTGAGGTTGCCACTTGTATGGAATTGTTAAAACATGTGATTGAGAATGGGGTCTGAAGGGTAGAAAGGGTTTTGAAATAAGGAAGGGGCCGATTTTCCGAGGGAGGGAAAGGAATTCGGCTAGGATGGGTTAAGGTTTCTCGATCCCAAGTGAATAATCTGGTTAGATGCTTTGATCACGATGCGCCGACGAGCTGATGATCCTCTTTCCTTGGTGTTGGTGCTTGCTTGAATTTAAGATCCTTGTTAGACCTTGCTTCCCAGGCTAAGGTTTCATCCTTCTCTTCTTTCTTGAGGGAATTTCCCGTGGTGATTCAACACTTACTTCTTTAATGCGCCCAAGGTCTTGACCGAGTTGGGTCAACCAAGCCAATCTCTTAGGGCGCATTTCCCAACTTCTTCCCAAAGTCTTTTGGGAGTCGATGGACTTTGGGTTGAATTTCTCTTCTTATTGAATTTCATCTCCTCTTTAGTGGATGAAATTCTTAGTATGACTTCATTTCTTACCCGAGGTTTCGGCATTGCTGTGCCCTGTTTGTGTTATTTTTAATGATGAAGGTGTCTTTGCGTGCCCTTTTTCCTTTAAAGCGCAGTCGGTTACCAAATCTCGTTGTGGGATGACTCGGTGACTTTACGAGTCACCTCATCTCCTTGTAAGTCCTTAATGACCCTTGAAGTCTTGGCGCGAATGTGTTCTTCACCCTTTTGCTTAGCACCATGGGCTACGTAGTTCTTGATTCCATACAACTTGTAAGGAGTCCTCTGATTTGCTCGAACGATGTCCATGGTTTGGAGGAGTCCCGGTCCCTCCTTAGCATTTTGACTTTTAAGGTTTTCGTGGGTTCTTAGTACGAGTTCCCAACTCGCCTCCTTGGTTTGCGCAATCCTTTACGCCAAACATCCCGAGTCGGTTGTATCGTAGGATCCGATTTCAATTACTCGTGCAATGTAGTTGATTGTGATTTCCCGATGGTGTCTCGTGCGTCAAGGTCTTTTACGTAGGACACTATGTTTGGGTGGTCCATGGTTCCTTACCCAAGACTCACATTCCTCAATCGAGGCACACAAGTGCGCCACAAATCAATAAAATGAGGGGTTAAGAAATCAGCACATTGTACCAGTGGGCCCGAGGTGGGCGGTCGTCCGCCTGCCAAGCTCCCGCCAAGGACCCGCCAAGGTCCCGTCAAGGACCCGTTGGGGACCCGCGGGAAAGTGACTAGGAAGAGTCAATTCCTTCGGGAAAGACCCCAAAAATACCCAGATTCATGTCCTGGCAAGTCCCATGCCCTAGTGCACAATAAAAGGGACTTGGATACATAGGATGACTCATCGTACAATGTTCATTGATCCTTAAGCATGAGTTCTAGAGGTAGATATACATATATATGTGTATCTATGTTTTCTTGGTCTGGGTTAAAGGGGTGTAAGAAGTGCAAGGGCTATGTTTCAAAGCCGAGGGGCGAATAGGGTCGATGTCTCCAAGGTCGTAATACAGGAGGGGAGGTTGCTACCTTTTACGGGTTTGTTTGTAATGAGGGATCAAGAGCGAGGTTTGGAGTGATAAGATGGATTCTTTAACGAAATGGTACTTGATTGGCAAGGGGAGGGAAAGAGGCTAAGGACTCTTGGTTTCGAGTGGTTATGCCTGTTTGGGGCTTGGTTGTGGCGTACAGTCGAACTGGTGATCCCTTTTCCTTGGTTTCGTTTGATTCTAAGATTTTCGTTTGATCTTCTCTTCCCGTGTCGAAGCCCCCTTCGTCTCTATGGCTTCCAGGGGAATTCTCGTGATGGTTTCCGTGCACGTTCCCCTCGGAGGTCCAGAAGTCTGGACTTAGTCGGTTAGTGGGTCAAATCCCTAGGTCCTGACTCCTAATCCTTGCCGAGGGTTCTTAAGGGTCAAGGGGGTTTCGGGTTTAGTCTTTCTTGTTCTATTGGGTTTCATCCCTTCCTTGGAGGATGAAATTCTTAGCAAGGCCTTAGGT